AACATTTATTAACATTTTATATAAACCGCGTGGAGCGGTTTATATAGCATCATATAAGGAACCTCTCAACCAGTCAGATTGCTGGAAACTCTTTTCTCAGCTCTGAAATTGTACTAAAAAGCAATATGGAGAGTATGTATACTGATGTTAGTGTGTATAGGGTTAATTTTGTTGAATACTAGTCCCTCTCAGACTGGAGATTGGCTCTTGAGCAGAGACCATTCTTAATCCCACTAATACACCAAATCTAAATATGGCATCCAATTTGAATTGCTATTGTTCTGGACTCACTAGCCTCTCACACATGAGATCATCCTTTTAATTAGTGTTTCCATGTGAAGACAAGGCTAGTGAGTCCAGAATAATAGCAATTCAAATTAGATGCTATATTTCAATTGTGTGTATTACACTGAGTGACCTCCCTTCAGATCACTCTCTTCTCTTTATTCCAGAAATATTTTTGGTGCTATGCTAATTCCTTGAGTTTAATCATATAATTATCAGTAACTAGCCTCAAGTTTCTCTATTTTACTTTTTTGTCCTTTTAATTATAATTAAATTGCACAAAAGTATTTAAGCATACGACTCTTAAGTACTTATTATTGTCCTAGTTGTTTGGGTGGCTGATATGACATGTGGCATTCTCTGTTGGTTAAGCAGATTGCCTTTTCTTTCAGGAGTGTTGAATTTTTTTATTTTCTGGAAAAATTATAATTGTGGATTTTGCAGAAACAAACTAATTCAAGGCAAATTCAAGGCAAAAGATGTTCAGTACCATTTGGCTGATGTTCAAAATAATAAAAGTGATTTTTGAAAGGTCATTCTGAATTGCAGAATGGTTGTACTGTTATTGCTGAATACTGCAAGTATTAATTGATCTTCATTTATTTGATGTGTTAAACTTGAAGGTTGTCATGGAGATCATGAAAAAATCAAGTTTTGCAAAACACCAAGTTCTTTACTGGATTGGAGCATGTCTCCATGGAAACATAACAAGGAAGAAGGTGAAGGATGTAGTTCGTATATTGCATTTTTTGATTCTGAAAACAGATGTGATTCCATCTCCTATTTAAATATCCCAAAATTGTGATGATGGTATGGCTTTCAAAAAGCTTTGAACTCTGAGGGAAACAAAAATAGAACATCAAGCCAGGTGAGTTGAAAAATTGAAATTTGACATGGTTTTGGGACACTTGCTGTAACCCATTTACACTCCTGAAATGGAGAAAGGAACTGAGAGAGTGAACACATTTAATGAACACATTTAATGACCTGAGTCTAACAAGTGAAACTCCTAAAAGGCTTCTGAGTCTTGCAAGATTTGAACAGTCTATGTTGGTAATATTTTTTTTTTCTTGCAGATGATGGCAGAGTTTTTTGCAACCACCCAAGCACAAGATGGATTCTTCTTAAATCTTAGTACTTTGCTCCTGAAAATGTGCCAGCCATTTATGGACCCATGTTCGCCGAAGCTTCTGAAAATTAACCCACAATACTGTGCTGTAAAAGTTAGTTTTGACAGTATTGAGCAAGAGGGCACTGCATTACATGTAGTTGGACTTGATGGAGAAACACGACTTGTTGTACCTCCAGATGAAGGTGAGACTCGCAAGGGGCCAACATCTAACAAGGGAAGTACTAAATAAATAAATAAATACACCTAGCCCATGCCACAGAAACTGAGACAAGCTAGCAGCAATGTGTGCCATTTAGCATGTGCACACAACTTGTACTACTGACCATTCATCCTTCATATTGCATTCATTTAGTTAGCCCTTTTGTGGCGTACATGTATGATAACAAAAAAATGTCTAGTATTTAAGAATATGAATGGCTTCCGTAGTGGCCCAGCTTTATTGAGTCAGATATGTTTCATTTTTCTTTCAGAGGACAATACACTCAGGATTACACCTGGATTTGGATTTGTGACAGAGTGTTTTTTCATGACCCATCACTGTCTCAACCTGGGTGAGTGATACAGGCAGGAGGCAGGGAGGTCACCAGACTAAATGATCCTTAATTTTAATTAAGCATTGAGATATAGACAAGGTGTCTGGTTGGGTCTCACTACATAGATCAGTGTGTAAGGTTTGGTGGGCTGGGTGGTGCAAGGTTTGATGGGGGGGAGGGGTGGCACAAGGTTTGGTGGGGTGAGGGGTGGTGCAAGGTTTGGTGGGGGGAGGGCTGGTGCAAGGTTTGGTGGGGGTGAGGTGAGGGGTGATGTGAGTTGTTATGGCTAGGAGCTGAGGATATATAGGAAATCTTGAGATACTCAGATTTACTAAAATTAAACCAACATTGCTTTTTTGATGCAAGTGTGTGTTTTGTTAAAAATGCAAATGTTGCCAAATCCAGCCCTGATAAACTTGGTGAGACAGGTGCATTCCATCTCTCTTTTTTGATACAGGTCTTTGGAAAGTCTGTGAGAAATACAGAAAACTCATGAATGAGTTAGCACAAGTAAGTACATAATACCATTTTGCTACTTCCTGGGTTTGGGAATTAATACATCAGGCATTCAATATGGGAGAATTCTCCAGCCTCCTCACTGAATTCTCTGGCTTAATTTCGATAATGTGTTGTCAGGTAGTTTTTCTTATTCAGATGTTACCTTTCACAGTTCTCCTACTACTAGCATTTCCAAATGAACACCTGGTTGTCAAGTCCCAAATTATTGATTGCCGTGAGTGTTTTGATTATCTGTGCTACATTGTCACTAACACCTTTTATTTGTGCCCTTTTTTAGATGCAACAGGTATACCAAGATGCCACTGCACAAGGATCTGAAGGAGTTTTGATACAGAGGCTGAAAGTCCAGTTTGAGAACAGCATTATTAAACAGCTGTCTCTAAAGGTGAGATGATTAAGAAATGTTTTAATTTTTGTGTAAGCCTTGTGGTTGCATGAATGCAAACCATCACAAATGATAGTGTCTGTGGTGGTCATTAAAGCCTATCAGCCTATCTTGGTGGAGCTGATCCTAGCTTTTGTAGCAACCAGGAGAATTTTTTACCTATCCTAGATGGGGTGTCTATTGCAAGTTCTCTACATTAACAATATGTCAGATTTCCCTTGCTGATAATTTGCCAGTACCCATTTTATACTTCTTGGTTGGAGAGAGAGAGACTCTGTGAGGGTATAATCATGAGTGTCTTTCCCTAGAACATAGCAAATTGACCTGACCAGAGCCCAGGGTCACTTGGAGTCCAGGGCTGGGTTGTTCAAAGGTGGTTTAAGGTAACCCAAGGTTAATGTGAAATTAGATTTGAGATCTGAAACCTTTAAAAGAAAATTAAATAGAATTCTTTTTGTCAACAATTTGATGACTGGATGCTCTATAAATAATAGAGAAAATTATCTGATAAAAGGCTTTTGACAAAGGAATAATAAAAGAAACCTGGATTAAAATGTAACCTAGGGTTAGTGCTAATTGGTCCTGGAACAATTGGGTCCAGTGTGCTAACCATTAGATCAACCCTCTTCTCTCTCCCAAAAGGTTTTTTTTCGTTGTTGTATTTTAACCCTTTATTAAACCCTAAGAGTGACCGGCATCTAATTTCTCCTTACAACATCACCCCTGAATCTTGCATAAAGGTCAGGAGAGTAAAGGTAATGATCATTAAAGAAGCTCTTGATTGTGAAACAAATTCTCCCTGTCAGCACTTCAGTAAATATATAAAGAACCGTATGGAGAATATGCATACTGATGTTAGGGTGTAAAGGCTTAACTTGTCATTTGTTTTTTTCAACAGACTCATCTTCTCAAACCCTCCTTAATTGAACTTGGCCTGAGGTTTTACATAGCTAGTGCATCATGGCTGAATCAAGTGGCACTAGCTGGAGACAGCTTTGATGAAATGACTTCTTTTAAAGAAGTGGAAATACCTCTTCCAACACAGGTTGATAATGATATGTTTTATTATAATATGACCTGTCCGTTTATGATGCACAGACCTTGCTGTGCTTGGTCCTTATGTTGCAATCTTGAGCCAAATATTTCCTGTTCCGCCCTCCCACTCAGTGAATATAAGTACATAGTATGCACTACTATAATGAGATGTACATGCACCTGATATAGTTTAGCCAAGGTGTGGTACGTGATCATTTGCGTAGTGATGTTGGAGGAAAGGGTAGCCTTATGTAGGACTTGTCAGGAAAATTGAGTGAGAATGTTTCGACATCTTGAGGGGAAGTTCTTTTTTAGAGTCATATGAAGAGTTCTTTTTTGTGCAAAAGTCTAGTTCATCAAAATGTATCAATTAGTCACTTGTGCTGTGATAGTTTGACTTGTAACTTGACAACATTGACAACTGTCCCATTACCCTCTTTAATCCTTAAACTCCCAGAAGTGATTAACATGTAACTTCTCCCTCTAATATCCATACATTATCCAGCAAAAAAGGTAATGAGAATACTCAACCTTATCAGGTAGAAGTTGTTTTCTTGATCTAACACCAAATTCTCATAAACAATATATTTTAATTGTAGACTCCTAAAGGACTTTTGTTTGTCCCCGAGTTCATCGTGGAAAACATGGCTGACTTTATAATTTTTCTAAGGTAACAAACTTACTCTTTGTAGTCTTTGTTTCCTTAGTTGACAAAGGTTTAACTTTTGCCATGTATTAATTGACATAAACCTTTTCTTCACATTGAAGACATTTCAGTGAAGAAACTTTGGAGAGTGCTGGAAAATCTTTACATCACCTTGTCACATTTTTTGTCATCTACATGGGGTACGTATAGATATTAATGAACTTGAAACCCTTTCCTTTGACTACCCTTATCAAGATAACCTTATGAACTTAAAATGATAGTTTATTCTTTTGATGCAACCCCAAGTTTTCCAGAACCAGAGAAATAATATTATGAGGGTACCATTTTTTTAATGCCTGGAAAGAGTTAAGTTACCTAATTTCTTATCAAAGAGTATGAACTAAGTTTTGTTTTTTTTTTTTAATCTAAGTTATTATACGGTCTTTCAGTTTATGCTGCAAGTGTTTCCGAACTTACTGTTATACAAAGGTTTTTGAAAAGATGCTATAAGAGGCGCTATACGTCAGTCAATTATAACATATATGAACTTTTGGAGAAAAGCGACAGACACCTTTTTCATAACCTCAAACATGATGACCATCCATTAAAAAGCCTACTCCCAAGGTACAAAGACTATATTATTGTAAACATTTGAAGGAAATCCGTTGTCAGGCCCAGCATTAACACTGAACGTTTTAAACATAGCTTTTTTAATAGATTAATTTTTAAATATAGTCTAGCTGTGTAAACACCCCATAATGTATATCTATAATCATTTTTAATCATTTTATTTGATTTAATCATTGTAATTTTTCCCATCAATATATATTTTTACTGTAACATCAGATATGTAATTTTATCGGATGGTTTTTTAATAAAGACGAATTTATTTATTTAAAGACGAATTTATTTTTTAATGATTTTGTTCATCTAATAGGCAATTGTTTTCTTACCAACAAATTTTCAATGATCCATTTTTTCACAATCTCAAGCCATTATAATCAGTAACTAGAATCCATTGAGCTATCAATTATGAAATTGCGGTAAAACTTAAGAACCTGTTAGGCTAAAATTTCATAGTTACTGGCAAGAACCTTTTACATATGAACCGTTCTAGGCTAAAATTTCGATACAGGTCCTTTTTTTTTTTTAAATAATTTGGATATATCATCAAAGTTGAAATGGTAAATTGGCCACCTAACGATTACAAAAGCTGACGTTTCGAGCATTAGCCCTTCGTCGAAGCGAATATGTGACGTACTGCAAATATATTGCAGTACATCACATGCAATACAAAGGTAACAAAACTAACCAGAACACTGCCAGTGTTACAAGATCATAATATTGTAGTGTCAGTGCATCCATATAGTTGTGCAACATATCCAACTGTGTTTATAAGTTAGCCATATATTTAAGTAGGGCACCATAGGGCTAGTATACAGTACAGTGTCACATTCATACCCTTGAAAAGAAATTTCGTTTTATTCAAACAAAAAATACGAACCTGATTTAGAACCAGTAATCTAATTTCAAAGTATACACCATTTATATATAAAGAACCCATGGAGACTATCTTAAAAAAACCTAGGCTCTTAGATATGGTTTTTTACTGTTTTCTATGTTGTATAAAATTTTCTCTGGTGAAATGTGAACAGCTTCAATCTGCACAGACTGAGTTAACATGTGATGTATGTTTTCATTCCAAGGAGTCCAGAACGTGTGCGCAATCCGCATCTCAGAGCAAAACTGGCAGAGACTCTTGAGGCATTGGTTCCTATCCAGAAATCCAAGAATTCAAGTGAACTTTTGTCAGTCCCACAAGCCAATATGGTATGCACTGTTAAAGTGCACCTAAACCCCAAATTTTTTTTTTCGCTTAACGAAATAAGCTTATTTTTTGGAGTATTTCTGTGCAAAAATTTTTTAATTTGCTTAAATCTTAAATTTTCTGTGCCTAGTCAAAATACGGAAAATCGGCCGCCATCTTGCCCCACGACCGAGTTTAAAGAGGAATGGCTCTAGCGGATAATGTGACGTCAAATCGAGAACACGAAAGTCTGCTTTTCACACATTTTCACTTGTTTGGGAAGGTTGTGGTCGATATTGTCCGAAATATGCCGACCAGGTGTATTGTATGAGGAATGTATGAAGCGTGATACCCTCTTGCAAATTTCGCACGTTGCTACGTTTAGGTGCACTTTAATGGCTACGGGAGGTTCGAATTCACTTGGAGATGCGTTACACTAGAATCATTGATTTCTAAGCTAACTTCAGTATCTCAGTGTTGTTTCTTATTCATTCAGCAATTCTTAATTAAGTAACATTTCCACTAAGGGACTAAATGATCCCTATTGTAGACACCTTGTCTCACTTTTTTTTTTTTTTTGCAGTAAAAAATCAAACCAACGCATTGAGGTTCTTCCTGCTTAGACTTTGAAAAAAATTATAGCCTATTCCAGGCGTTCAGTTATTAAGAAGAAGCACGATAATAAAACGGGGCCAGATAACAAAACGTAGCGCGATAGAAAAACAGAGCGTAACATCTAATAAAACGGAGCGCGATCATAATAAAACGTAGCGCCATGGTAAAACGTAGCACTATAGCAAAACGTAGGGGGGCGGAGGAGTGAAAAGACGTGGGAAGTTTTCGACGAGTCGCGTCGGCAGGGAGAAATGCCAACGATAATTAAGTATTCGCAGCTGCCCTAAGATTCAAATTTCATAAGATCATTTGATTTAGGTTAGAATTTTCATTTTACTTGGAACGTGAGCATTTGCTAAACAATTTGTAGAATATGAAAAGTGCATGTCTAAAAGGTTCTCTGGATCTGAAAATGAGAGTCATGAGAAATGCCGTCAGTTTTCTTTCATCCAAATACGCCATGTTCGCTATTTGAATGAAAGAAATTTCCATCGCCTTACTTTCAGATATAGTACTTTTAGTC